ACGGCCTGTCTTCTTGAGTGGCCCACGGGGCATGAAGTCTACCCCATGTCACAAAGTGTATTCCTATTTCGAAATGAAAGGAAAAGGCGGTGTTTTTGATCGGCATGGATGCTCACACATTCTTACAAACACACACACACACACACACACCACACACATTCGCATACATCCTTTCCCATATACGCACAGCGGCGCGTGCAGACTGCTATTAAAAGTAACATGTACCGCTTATCAGGAGTACAAGGCCAAGAATAAAGACTGAAATCCAGAACCCGCCACAGTTCGGGGGCGGAGCCCAACCAATTACACAAGGATCAAGGGGAAATCAAGCCTTCGCCCCCCCCCCTCCCTCCCCCTCCTCCTCCATGACCACGACCCCCCTCCTCCCTTATCCGTACGTACGTAAATCCAGGCAGACGCGCTTCTCAATACGCCTTCTTTGTCTCATCATCGAGCGTGGCTTCGGGTACATGGGTCACGGCCACGCCTTCCGGCCCGCTCAGCGACTTACCCATGACCGCATTGGGCTCGTCGTCCGAGCCGTCCTGCGCGACAGGCGGGCCGGTGAAGTTCTTCCTAGCGTAGGCGAGATACCACACGGCACTGATGAGGGCGAAACCAGCAAAGACGACGCTCGCGTAGTTCATGGACGAGGCCGTGACGGGAATGGCGACGGGCATGGAGAAGATGACCACAGCAAAGACGATCCACAGCACGGATATGCCGTTGATCAGGTAGCCGAAGCGGCCGAGCGGGTAGGGCGAGCGGGCGACGACCTTGCGGCCGCGGATCATGTTGACGAGCACGGGGACACAGTACGACGTCGACAGACAGATGGTGGCGACGCCTGTGAACGAGTTGAAGGCGGCCGAGGAGCCGAAGAAGATGAGGCCCAGGATGCAATCGACGACGGTGGAGAGGGCCAGGGCCCACAGCGGCACGTCGAGCTTCTTGTTGACCTTCATCCAGAGGCGGTAGCCGGGGATAGCGCCATCGCGTGCAAAGGCGTAGGTGCAGCGCGAGGCGGCAGTTAGGGCGCCCACGCCTGCGAAGAAGAGGATGCCCAGGATGAGGAACAGGAGGCAAAAGCCACCCGCCTTGGAGCCTGTGACAGTGGTGAAGAGGAGACCAATGGGCTGGCCGTTGGCGACGCCAAGAAGCATCTCAATGTCGGGCAGCACAAATAGCAGCGGCACAAGGTAGAAGATACCCGTGATACCCGCTGCAACGACGGACAAGACAATGGCCTTGGGCACCTGGCTCTCAGGGTGCTGGACCTCTTCACACATGGCAGCGACCATGCCATAGCCTGTAAGGGTGTATGCAGCTAAGGGAAGACGTGTCAGTACGGACCGAGTCAGAACCGGACAATGACCAGGGGTAGAAACAGAGAGAGGGGGGGAAGGGTCGGTTGGACGTTACAGCGGGCCAAGCGGCTAAGTGGCCGAGCGGTCAAGGGAGGCTGCACAAATATCCAAGGCGACCCGGAACAAAGAAGAGGGGAGCATCAGACAGAAACACAAAAAAAAGGAAGAGAGGGTGGCCACATACGCTGGAGCAAGCCTACGAAAAAGGACCATCCAGAGGGCCAACCGCTGGCAGACGAATCGTAGTGAGTGAAGACAAACTCGGCGGATCTGCGCTGATCTGCCGTCGCTAAGAGGGTGACCAGGATGATGACCACGCTGGCGCCAGTCCAGTAAATGCAGACCTTGTTGATCAGGTCCAGATGCCTAGAGCCGAATGCATTGACCAGGGCGCAGACGAGCATGACCGCCCAGAAGGCGAGGACGGTTTGCCACTCGTTGGGCACGAAATCCTCATCAAAGATGGAAATGGCGCTGAGCACGAGCTGGGCGCCGGAGAAGTTGATCGACAGCGTGACGGTCCAATTGCCCACGAGGGTCAACCATCCGTCGATGAAGCTGACGATCGGCGCCCACTCGGGGGTGCTCAGCATGGCCGACCAGTAGTAGACGCCGCCAGCGGTCGGGTAAACGGCGCAAATCTCGGCCAGGGACGCAGCAATGCAGCATGAGATGAGTGAGACGAGGACCCAACCCCAGAGCACGCTGACGGACTGGCCGGTTGTGAGGGTGATGTACATGGTCGTTGACAGGCCAAAGGGCACCGCCATGATGGCGAAGGACATGCCCAGGATGCTCATCATGCTGAGGTTGCGCGGCAGCTCGCTGGTGTACCCCAGGCGCTGGAGAGCCTTTTCGGCGCTGGGGGCATTGCGATCAGGCTCCATGATGTTGCGATTTGGCGGGGGGCCCTCAACTCGGTGTTCTAGAATGACCTGATTGACTGGGATTGCGCCGCGCGCCGTGGAGGATTCTGTTGCCACGGGAGGTGTCTTGAAAACGTGACGAGGATTGCTTAACGCCCTAAGTACGTGTGGATGCGGGTGTATGAATCTATCGCGGATGGTTGGGCCGGGGGAATGGGAATGCGCGATATGACTGCCGGCATGAACTCTGAGCTACCTGGGAAGGCCGTCGTAGCTTAAGCCTCGCGCAGGGCCAAGACGGGAGAGAAGGTCAGCGGTGCGTAGTGCGTCCGCCGGATGAAAGGTTCCTTGCGTCGGAACAGCGTGTGAGTTGCGTGTTTGAATGTGTGCGTGTGTGTGTGTGTGTGTGTATGTGTGACAAGACGCGGCAGAAGCAACAAAAATGGTTTGCAATGGCACGCACTCGAGATTTGACACAAATTAGCAGACTACAGCCACGAGGTTCGTTCAGTCTAGAAGAAACCATGGGGGAAGAATCCACCACGCGGGGGGAGACACGTCTCACGAGACCCTTTCTCCATGGTCCAGACCTGTTACTACCGATAACAGCAACGCCCAGTACGTCATGTATAGCGAGGGGAAGAAGCGAGGAGAGCGCAGTACACCAGTAGAGCCAGGGGAAGCGATTCAGCTCCCTCCATTGTTGGTATCGCGGTCAACTCCGCAACCAATGGCTGCTGTGAAAATGGGCGAGGACGGGGGTAAGACAGCGAAGCGGAACCAATTGCAGAGCACTATCCTAGTGACGATCGGGATTAGAGCTGGACGGGGTCGCCGAGTTGCCGAATGTCGGCCGACTATCGTTGCTTATCGTCTATCTACCTTGCGGGTTGAGATCCTGGGGAACCTCGAGGGGGAAATTGGAGTCGCATCATTTCCAGATAAGAGGAGATGTGTTGCCTGAAACGCCGAGATAGGAGGACCCTTACCTCTGTCGTGCGGGTGGTTCTCAGCGGCCTGGTTATGGGAGCATTGGCTACTTATGGGACCATTGATACAAGGCGAGAGCCAAGTCATGTTCTAATGAGCTGTCTCTGACAGCGATAAGGCGGTTTGTTCACTGACTCGGGAACGTGCCATCAGGCATCAAGACGCGTAGGCGAGGGATAAAGAGGAATCAGCTCCAGGAACAAGGGGTTTCACTCCAAAGCAACAAGATTCATAGGCAGGGTAGCCGAGACAGGCGCGATGAAACACATGGATATGAGGGTTCCTTTTCTGGAAGGTCTGAACGCCATTGATTGGGCTCTCTAATAGCATCTGAGGGTAAGCCTCACACATGCGATACAGGCCATGTGCCAAGGCTGCTGTGCCCCTCGTTTTACGGCCAAGATGAGGCTACATGTACATCAGGTAGGTAGGTAGGTAGGTAGGTACCTTAGGTTACCAACTACCTAGGTATCCCAGGCCTGTGTTCATGTTTTTTAACCAGTCGCTCAGCCTTGTGCATACCTAGCTCAGAGGAGGATTGGATAGTTCGACAAGAGAGCCTAACTAGCAATAACCGCCCTTGGCGATGGGCTTTCAAGACCATACTCAGGGTCCCAAAGCTAACCCCATGCCACCTCCAAGGCATCGAAGTGCCGCCTGAGGCCATGCCAAGTGCGGCTTCACAGCCCTGCCGCGCCACCGCCCGCAGCTTGACACCTGACCTGATGAGAAGGCCAAGCAAAGTATGGCATGCAGGGGGACGGAACCGTTTCCTGTTATTTCTGCGTCTTACTTAATGGCGTCACATCCAAACCCCCGCATTTCGAACGGGATCACCCCGCGATATGTCCACGATCAAACAAACACCACGATCGCCTTGAGCCTCCACGAACACCCCCCACCAACATGGATCAGCACGATCACCACAGCGAGGCGCCTCCGCCGTATCCGGGACACCCGTCCGAGCAGCACAGCCATCGCGACGCGCACGACACACATCCAGCAGACCCTGCGCCGGCGTACGAACCGTTGATTGACAGGGCTAGCGACGGCCCGCTGGCCGAGGAAACCAATGACCGCCACGGCGTTCAGCCAGGCGCGCGGGCCGTCTCAACGTCACAGCCATCATCTTCGCGTGCGAGAGCATCCTCCTTGACATCGCCGCCGCCTCCTCCCTCACCAGTCACGGCAGGGTCCTCTTCCTCACGCAACCCCTTTACCTACCTCAGGGACAAGAAGCGCGAGCGCGAAGCGACCAAGAAGGTCGATTTTTACGAAAAGCACTACGGGTTCGTGCCCAAGAACGTGCTCACGGAAGCGGAGTGGAAGCGGATCAGGAAGGAGGCGGTCAAGGTCAAGGTACCCGTGAAGATGCGATCAAAGGGCTACCATTACTGGTGAACTGTCTGATCAGGGAGGGAGAGGGGAGAGGGGTGTAGGGGCTGCAGAAGACCGGTCTGCAAACCGGAAATTGCCGCCGCAAGTTTAGTCCGGTGCAAATTCAGTACGAGCAAGACATGATGAGACCCACGCGTACATGACGATACCTAGATACCACACATGGCGAATCGATTTCGATGATGCTTTCCATTTTGAAATAGAGTCTGCCTGCTGCCTGCTTCCTGCCGCCTGCCGCCTGCTGCCCAACATTGGCTGGGTATCCCTGAAGTGAAGGCTGATTTCCGTAATCCGGGATCGCCGGCTCTGAACCCGATCACCAATCAACCACTCTTTACGCCACGGCACACCCTTGCACGCGGCGTCAAAGTAAAGTGGTCTATGCCGTCGCCGATCGCAAACTCATGTGCGCAACCTGGTCTGCGGTGAGTCTCACACTCCGCATCACATCGAGGTGATAGTCCGTGATCCGCGCCACCGCCTGGGCAAAGGCATTGCAGTTTGCGTGTCTGGCGCGAACACGCACCGAGGCCCCGTCCTGAAGTCTGCGGACAAGGTCCCGCACGGTACCCTTGTATGCGGCTGGTCTGTCGAGACAGTTGAGGTCGGGGTTCTGAAGAAGGAACTGAACGAACGCGCCGAGAATGACTCTGGCGCAGTTTTCTTGTCTCTCCGTGTTGCAGTCTTGGACTGTGCAGCTCAAGCTGTGGCAAAGCTTGATCTGCATCTCCGAAAGGACTCTGAAGGCCATTGCAACAATATCGGCTCGCATCTGTATGATGCTGTCTGCGTGGCATAGTTTAGCGGATGTCGTCTGAGGGCAGAGATATGCAGCTCTTTCCCTGGACTTACCAATCATGCCCATCATCCGTCCGTTGTATCTGTGATTCGTGAGAACTAGATCAGAAGGACCGACGACTTCTTCGTAATCGCCGAGACTAGAGTCATTGATCAGTGTTCTGGCTGCGCAGAGAAAAAGCTGCTTATCGCCAAGCTCCCAGGAGATGAGGATGACACGATCGCTGTCGGGGACGATGCTCATGACTGTCAATGATTCCCCAGAGCCATGGTCGGGACGCTCTGCAGCGTATCGACTGACGCTTTCGTGCTCCCTGTGCAGGATCCGGTCAGCTGGGTGATTGATTTTACACGGAATGGTCACTTACAGCTTCGGAGCCTGTGCATGTGTATCCGCCAGACGAGCAGACGGTAACATGGCCTCCGAAACACCTTCGAAGGTTTCATTCTCTTGAGAAGAGCCACCTGCATCCGCGCCTGCCTCCGACTCGCGGCGCGAACGCTTGCGCTTCCTCGAAGGGACTGCTGGTTGCCGCTCGCGAGACTCATCCTGTGGCGAATGGATCGTGTCACGGATGCTGTCCAGCCAGGCAGGCGCAAACATGGCAACCACGGGGCCCATCTCAAACGAGCTCAAAGTGCTCGCGATCTGGTAGAGTAGATCCGGAGAGGCCGTCATGGGGACAAGTCCGTATTCGAAGTGGCAGGCGTGCAAAAGCACCTCCATGGCGGCGGGATCAATGGCAGGGAGCACAAGGCAGGGCTTGCCAGCAGTGGCGGGATCAGGCAGGATCTTGTCCCACTCTGCCGAGGTCGAAGCAAGCACGCCGGCGTTGAACTCGAAAGAATGTGTGGCGTCGCCTTCGCCGACGATGATGCAGACATCGGCTCTTTCCTCACTACCGATGATGACGGCATTAGGACGGGCGTTGGACGGGCTTGAGGGAGTGTTGGTTTCGAACTTGACTTCACATTCTTCGGGACCCTCGTCGTCTGAGCATATCTGCGATCCCTTGCACGAGCTCTTGGGGGATGCTTTTCTAGGGGTGTCGTGCGCAGGCAGTATGGCTGATTCAGTCTTGGGGCTTTGAGAGCGAGACATACTGTGTTGTCTGCGCGCGCACGTTAGAGGGCAGTCTTGCTGGGAGGCGCAGGTGTAGAGGCTTTCCTTTGTTGAGCAGTGCTATGTCAAGAACACGAGCAAATATCGACACGTCATAAGTGCAAAATTGGTATGTGGAGGAGGAAGGTTGTGCCACCTGATAGGTCTGCGTATTGGCGTTGATATGTTGATGGTTACACAAAACCTTGGCTGAAGTTTCTGTAATGGTGGAAGGAAGGTGCATGCCACAGGTTCGTGGGAGTGGCTGGTAGTAGTCAATACGACAATGGATATGAATAGCCGTCGTGGAAGGCACTGGTCCTCCATTCACTTGTACGTTATTGTGGCCACACTCTGCCCATCTTGCTGCCAGAAGGCTCAACTATCAAATAGTACTTTGTCGTAGCCAGCATAATATTCCAGTACAGTATAATTTCTATCAGACTTTCCACTTCACAAAGCATGAGGGAAGGAACGTGTCGCAGACATTTGGTGAATCGCTCCCGCTTCAGCCTGTGTAACATTCATAATCATGCCTTGGCCATAGCGCTGACAGCCGTACAGAAGCCGTTCAGTCCCAAGCTGAAGCCTGAATGTCCCAGAAACGCCATTGATTCCTTCTTGATTATGGTAGCAAAGCATGCGACCCCAAAGCCAGCATTCTCTTCGCCAGTCATGCTCAGTGTAAAGTTGCGTCTTCGAGATGATGATGATATACCTGTGTAACGCTACTATTCATCCTATGTGGGCAAAAATACACCTGCGCCTTCAATGCGCCTGTCTTTTGACCGTTAAGGTAGGCATATCTAAGTTGCCCACTAGTTCATGAGATTCATCTCGAGTCATTTGATTAAGGAGGGGGGGAGGCCAGTCTGTTTGAGGGTGATTCGGTTCTTTCAGTTCCTGTAGCATCAGCCCCTCCAGGTTTGGTATGTTAGTTAGCTTAAGAGTGGAGGGGTCTGGGTTTTGCCGCTTGTGTGAGCATGGGCTGTCTCTGCTCTTCTCCTGAATTTTGGCTTCGGTACTATCGTACCTAGTTTCGCGAGCGCCTCGCCTGAGCTATACGAATGAAGTTACCCCTGAGTACCCCTGTCGGCCCAGTTCTTGGTGCTAGGGGAGAGCTCCTGATCGTGGTTGCCAGAGCTGTGGCCCTCTCACTGTCCCCCCTTTCTGGGCCATTGCGTCTTGGAGAGCGAAGGATGAGAGATACGAGTCAAATTCCAAATCAACTCATCAAGAGACATGACCACGCCACAGTGCACATACGCCCAATAAATCCATGTGATATTACTACCTCTGACTCCAACCCCTCCAAAGACGTCCAAGTAAAACAATCCACCCCTAAGCCCAAGGACCAGGCATATGTCCATCTACGTACACTTGGTGATAGTCACGACGACAGGAGCAGGCGGCGGGCACGCGTCCTCGTCAGCAGCCGGGGCAGGCGTGATAGCAGCGGCAGCGCCGCCCGCAGGTGTAGGCGTAGGCGTAGCCTTGGGGGGAGGCGCGGCCGCCTTGCCGATGAGGATGCCGTTGAAGGCATCGGCAGCAGCCTGGTTCTGGGCGGCGGCGATGGCGGCGGCGCTGGCCTGGGCGCACGAGGCCTGGACGGCGGCGGGGGCCTTGCACGAGTCGCTGAGGCGCTGGCAGATGAAGCCGGCGATGATGCCGACCTTTTGGGCGGAGCCGTGACCAAAGTCCTTGAGGTTGTTGGGGATGAAGGCCGCCTCCTTGCGACCGTCGAGACCAGCGGCGAACTTGATGCTGGGGTCCGTGCAGGAGCCAAAGTTGCCAGTGGCTGGTGTGGCCTGGCGGCGCTCGCGGAGGAAGCGCTCGCGGGAGGTGGAGCGCTTGCCGAGGGAGTTGGCGGCGTGGCACTGGGCGTTCTGGGTTTCGCACTGACCGACACCGCCGGTCAGCTTGCCCGTGTTGGCGGCGTTGGCGCAGGCGTTGTGCTGAATGTCACACGAGCGGCTAAGGGCGGCACCGGCACTGGTAAAGGTGTTGCCTTTGACGGAGAAGGGGCGGTCACCGGTACCCTTGATGACGGGAGGGGCAGCGCCGCCGAGGGTGCCAGTGAAGGCTTGAATGTTGTTGCCGCCGGCTTGAGCGTTGTTGCCGCCGGCTTGAGCGTTGTTGCCGCCGGCTTGAGCGTTGTTGCCGCCGGCTTGAGCGTTGTTGCCGCCGGCTTGAGCGTTGTTGCCGCCGGCCGGGGCAGGTGTCCCGACGGCACCGGCGGGGAGGGTCGTGGTGAACACGGTGCAGCTGCGGCTGGCAGACGTAGTGGGCTTCACAGCCTCGCACTCATCGGCGTCCGGGGCACCAGCGGGGGGCTTGTCAGCGGCGTTGCCAGCGGCGTTGCCAGCGTTACCAGCGGCGTTGCCAGCAGCATTACCAGAGGAGGGGGGAGGCGTGGTGGCAGGCTTCCCAGCAGGCGAACCGGCATCAGCAAGGACGGCGCCGGTCGCAGCGGCGACAGGAAGGCCAGCAAAGTCAATGTGGGTGGCCTTGAGCTGGCCGGTGCCCTTGAAGGCCGGGACGACATCTTTGACGGCGGCCTTGATCTCGTCAGGGGTAGCATCGAGGAGGAGGAGGCGCTGGGTGAAGATGCAGCCGACGGGGTCATTGGCGCTGTCGCAGGACTTGCCGGCGGCGGTCCTGTCATTGAGCTCTCCGGCGACAAAGGTGCCACTCTCGAGCGCCAGCAGCGGATCGCCGCCGATGAGGGCCAGCTGCTTGGCCAGAGCCAGGGCGATGGCCTTGTTGCCTGCGAGGGCGCCAGGTCCGGCGGCATCCTGGTGCTGGGCGAAGGCGCCGATTTCAGGGTTGACGGGCTTGTCGGTACAAGCGGCACTGACGCCGCCAACGGAGCCGGTGTTGCGCTCGAGGGCCTGGTAGACGAGGGCAGCGGACATGCCGCGGATATCTCCCACCTTTTTGGCGTTGGTGAAGGCCTGGTCAGCAGTCTCCTGCTTGAGGCATGCCAGGTTGGTGACCTTGCCGGCACCTTTGGAAGCGGCAGCGTCACCGAGGAGGCCGAAGACAGGATCAGAAATGCCCTTGGGGTTGTTGAGGTTGAGGAACTCGCGGGTGATCGTCAGGAAGATCTCATGAGAGTGCTCCTGAGGGACCTGGCGCTTGAAAATGTTGCCTCGGCGGCTGTGCGCAGTCCCCTGGGACTGGGCAGGGCTCGCAGAAGCCATGCCAAGGAGGCCGAGAGTGACGAGTTCAAACTTCATTTTTGTTGATGGTAAATCGGCGACAAAGCAAAAGTCAGCGGTATGTTGTCTCAATGAGATGGTAATGATTGGTAGGGAGATGAAGTGAAGGACCGTCCGAATGCAGTCAAAGAAGGTATAATACTCGAGCGAGAATAGGTGCACTAAGCAAAGAATGGAAGAGTTCACAGAACCCGTGTTGTAAGAGAAAAGGTGGGAAAGAGAAAAGAGAGTAGTATCTCAGAGAATATTGGATGACGATGCGATGTGTGAGCAGAGTGAAGACCAGACGAAGAGGACCGGAAGATCAGCATGATTATATAGTGGAAGGACAGGGATGAAGTAGATCGGATCACTTGGCACAATTGCTTGATTCCCCAAGACCCATATCCTTTCTGCCCCCTTTGCCCCTCGTGTTGTCGCTTCGCTTCGATATATTGGTATCAGCGCTGCGCCTGCCGTTCATCGTGGTTGTCCCCTTTCTGGGGCTCCTCTTCGAATGCTACGCAGCCGTGGCCATGTCGTGTGCCTGGGCGCTTGTACCATGTACTGGACTCGGCTCTCGGCAGCGACGGCTGGAAAGTGACCAAACAAAGGTACAGCAGGTCACCCAGCTATACGGAATGTCTTGTCACAAGGGGCTCGCGGGAAGTATCGAATGTGGCATCTGACAGGTAGCGAACGTCAGGGACGCCCCTTGTGGACCTTCGGTAGGGTGACATGGGGGGGTGAAGATCTGGGTTAGGCGAGGATTCGAGACCGGGCAGCGTGCCGAAAGGAGATTGTGGGATGCTCAATTCAGCGGCCCCCAGGCTGAGCATCAGTGCTGTGCAACAGGCATTGTCTTTGTTCGGCGGCGACTTGAGATGGTAGGTGAGAAGGATTGAGCGCTATCGAATCAAGGGGCCACGCAGCTGGGTCGTCGTTGATGGGGTGAGGTGGTGTTGAGTAGGAGGACGTTGAGGCGAAGATCAGACAAGGCGAGCGTCATGAGGGTTTGGGCCGGGGTCGCTTAGGCTGAGCCCCACCCATCTGATGCCAAGAGCGTCTCCGCCAGTCACAAGCTCGTATTCCCCAGGGATAGCCCTGGCTCTGTCCACGTGACATCGACCTGTGCCTGGCCGACTCTGAAACTCCATCACCACCCTCGATCTCCTTCTCTCTCCTCTTTGTGTGACCAAGTCACCTACCAACAACGACTCCCCGCCGCCGCTCGTCCTTCTCTGCCATCCCTTGTCGTCTCAACTCTCCATGTGGCGTTTTGAAGATCAATCTGAGAGATCACCATGCTCGACGGCTACACAGCATGTCCCCCCCCCCCCCCCTCCCCAGTCATTCTGTCATTTGTCACCCTTGATCAGCACACTGCAATTGCGCTCTTGCGTCGACACGGCCACGTCCAACGCCGGGTTCCCGTCGAAAAAGTTGACCGGCTTGAGCCCGACAATCATCTTCTCGCACGGCATGACCGGCCAGTCCTCAATCCGTGGATTGTGCGTCGACCCGAACGTGTGCCACAGCACAATGTCTTCGTTTCGAACCGACGACCTGGCCTCGTCATGACGCCTCGCCGCGATCCACGATGCGATCCCTTCGCCGCCGAGCGACTGCATCGTGTGCCTGCCCGCTGGGAACAGCTCTTCGTCGTCATGCCGAGTCACCCACACCGCGTGTGCCGCGTACTCGGACCGTCGCGCGTGGTACGACTTGGGGTGTGCCAGGAGCAGTTGGCTGTAGCACGGCAGCAGCTTGAAGCCGATGGGCGTGCCCGTGATGGCGTTTTTTTTGGCCTCGTTGACGATCTTGACGACGCGGTTCGTGCGAAAGTCGAGATCGAGACCCGTCTCCTTTTCGATGACCTGTGACCTTGTCGTGTACCCGACGCCAAAGGGGTTGCAGTCCTCGCCGGACGCGTCCTCCTCCTCGAAGGCCATGGCGTGCGATTCCTCGACGACTAGCGAATTTGCGTGTCCGCCGATTGCCGGGTCGATTCGCAGGCAGAAGAGGTGCTGATGGTACGGCGCCAGCGTGCCCGGCGCCACGATGGTCCCGTACGGCACCGTGTCGCCAATGTCGATCGGCGCCGTCGACATGATGCCCGTCGCCCGCACCTCGTAGAACAGCGACGCGTCCTGCTGAAAGTAGAACAGGAACAGGTACTCGTAGTTGCTCACGGTGATGATAGTCTGCAGCACGAGCACCCTCGACCGCGTCACGACGGCGTTGCCCGTGCGAAAGTTGGTGTGCTTCCACAGAATGCCGTCGTCAATCTCGTGGCAGCAGACAACGTTGGGCATCCGCAGCGGCTCGCCTGCCGCCGTCGTCAGCCAGCCGTCAAAGTACCGGATGTGCCCGAGACAGTCGCAGCCGAGGCCCAGATTGTTGGCGTTGACGCCGGCGCCGTCGTTGCCGAGGTCAAAGGCCGCCTTGCGCGGGTACGGCGCCCGGGGATCTGCGTACGGCACAAACATCTCGGCGAGCGAGAGGCGGTAAAAGAGGCTGCGGCCGTCGTAGCGCACGTCGTGCAGCGTCATGCCCTCGCGGTAGTTGAAGCCGATGCGCATTGTCCACTTTTCCCACGTGATGAGGTTGCCCGCGGTGCTGAACGATGGGCCTTCTGGCTGCGAAATGAGGTACGGCTTGGTCGTCGTTCTGTGGCTCGTGAGGAGATCGGGGTGGTACTCGCTCTTTTCGGCGTTGACGATTTTCCGCTCGTCGAATGCCGCCTGACGCGTGTGCGTTCTGTCCCCGGCTGCCGACGGCAAGCGGTAGACGCTCGTGACCCGGAGGTCGGGCGACACCTCGGCGCAAATGTCGAGCGGGTAGGCGTAGTAGTTTGCCTCTGGATGGTCTGACAGGCGCATGTAGAACCAACCCTGTCGTCTGCCTCAGCATATGTCATTACACGAATGAAACAATGGAATTGACCCTACCATAGTCCATCGTTCCTTCATGTTCTTGACGCCGTCGGTGGCGTATGCCCACGGCTCTACCACCACCGTGGCGCCCTCGGGCAGCTTCAGCGATTCAATCTCCCGCTGGACCTGCTCGTCTGCGAGACATGCGTCACCGACTTGCTTCATGAAGTCTGTGTCGATGTACGAGTGCCGTCCATGAAGTTCCTTGTTCGAGGCCACGGCCTGCTGATCGAGGTTGACAATTATCTCGTGGAGGAGCTTTTCTATGAAGACCTGCACTCTAGCTTGTCGGGGTGGCCGTGTACCAGAGCCGGGGCTGGATTGTTCGTTGTCAAGGAAGACGACCATATCCTTCTTCGGGGGCTCGGCGAGCGAGATGGCCCGGAAGAACAGCTTGTTAGCCGGCCATGACTTTTTCAAAATACTGGTCGCCTAAGGGCAGAGGGCAAAATAGTAAGAATTCATGTGTCGCTCAGGCTGTCATCGTCTGGGGACGGGAACGCATACCTCGATGATCTCACTCGGAGTCAGCGGCTCAAAGGGATGGGTGGACATGATAGATAAGGTAGGATGAACAATTCCGTCGGGCTTAAAGCAAAAAAGCCGATGCACGATGCTGCGTGCTTCGATGAGCGCGTTGATTCTCGCTGTCGAACTGCCTCAGCAAGTACGAACAATTGAGGGCCAGCCTGGACCCCTCCGGCATCTCGATGATGAAGCCCCGTTTAGCGAGGCTCGATTGGGTCATGTGTCCCGGCTAACTGCGGCCAACCCCGCGCCGTCCTCGGAGCAGACCCATCCCCGAAGAGCAGGTGGAGCCGGACATGGAGCACCGTGCTCGGCATCAGTCCGCTAAGGTGAGGTTTTGGCGATGCCCGTCTCCGTATCGGACGGGGAGCCCCATGAGCCTCGCCGAGCGAGGGCGAGCATGCTGTGCTTCCGTGCTGCTGGCCATCGTCGTATAGACTGCGCGAGAACGTACCTCCGACATCGGTCTCCACAATCGGTCGGACCGGCACGTTGGTCTGCTCGGAAACCGAAACTCACACCGACGTGACGACCATCGTGAGTCAACAGAATCATCTTCACCATGATTCGCCGAAAGGATAAGGGGAATCAGGGGTAACGCAAGAGGCTTGATATATTTATTAACAGTTGTTGTCGGAGCGCCAAGACACAGTCTCTCGTCGATGTTCGTCGCTCATGCCATTTCAAATCCGGCCCTCTTATAAATAATTCTTCGAGCTCAACCGACACATATACACCAAGCGCAGCATGCAAACCGACAATAAAAAGCGAACCAAGCCCCGTGTGGCTGTTCTATATCAGAACACGGAGCCTCCCGTCATTGACGGGACACGGAAGCCTATGAAGCCTGGTGGTAGGCACTCTGCCTAGTCACCTCAGATGACTGGAGGCCGAAAGCAAACTAACAGAATCACAGGCTACCAGGATTCCGGAGCAGACATTGCATATACCCTGTGTCTCTCAGATGAGGTTGAGGTCATCACTCCGTCCTCTAACCCAGTCCCCGAACAGCACGCTGGCTGGTGCTTCCCTGACACCGAAGAAGGGATCCTGCAAGCCATTGAGCGAGGTGCCACTCATCTTTGGGCTAACACAATTTTGTTCGCCTCGCATCCACTTCAAGTATCTGCCAAGGTAGGCAAGCACCAGGATCACCTACGTGTCGTCGGTCAAGGCCCTTTGCTCGTCGAGAAGTACGACAACAAGGACTACGTCAACGACCTCCTGCGCCGACTCGGGGGCTTCACCATGCCGCGGGCGTGGTCGCTACCGTCGGGCCCCATCAGCCCAAGCGACATTGAAGATTGCATCTATCCCCTCGTCGTCAAGCCCGCCCGCGGCCGCGGCAGCTACGGCGTCAAAGTCTGCAAAGACGCTTCGGAGCTTGTCTCGCATGCAGAATCGCTAAGGTCTGAAGGTCTCAGCCTGGTCATGGTTGAAGAATACCTGTCTGGCGAGGAAGCGACAGTCACGGTCATGCCGCCGAGCCTTGACAAGCCGGACTATCTGGCCCTGCCGGTCGTCACGCGCTTCAACCACCAGGATGGCATCGCTCCGTACAATGGCACGGTTGCCGTTTCCACAAACTCGAGGGCTGTTGTTGGGTCAGACGACCCGGCTTATGAGGCAATCTCGAGGGAGTGCGAGAATGTCGCCCGAGTTCTTGGTGTTACGGGCCCGATCCGGATTGATGTCAGACGCTACGGCCCTTCGGATCCGAGATTTGTGATATTCGACGTCAACATGAAACCTGTGAGTTCGCAAAACATGGCGCTGGAAGTCTGGATTGGAAATACCCATCGCTAACGTCTAAAGAACATGACGGGCCCCGGCCGGCCGGGTCGAGAGGATCAGGCGTGCTTGTCCCTTCTGGCAGCAGGCGGCCTAGGCTGGGACTATCAACGCTTGCTGAAAGAGATACTTGGCACGGCGGTCCTTTTGAGGAAGCACCGGTCACTCCATCCTCTATAAGTAGAGGAATTCTTGAAACCGCTTCATCGATGACTTTGAGTTTCACAGATGGAGCAGTCAACTATGTATTTCGGTCTCTTCTAAATGTATTTCCGTAGCTTGCTTTACAGCGGATGTCTGCAGGGTTTCTCCGTGGGCTTGGCTTGGTGGCATTCTGCAGAATTTGTCGAGCCAGCGAGTAGTTGACTTAATGCACGAACCGGAAGTCTAGTTTCGAACTTCCTTTATCCTTGGTTGTATCGAGGTAGTGAATCCGTTCCTATTCCATCATCGTTAGCTTGTGGTTTCCCCACGAACTCCCAACAGGACACTCCGGGGTTGGACGCACGTCTTCAGTCATCGCTTGCCACTTCTTCTCGCGGGATCTGTTCTTGTAGATATAGAAGCCCTTTGCTACAACATAGACGCAGATGTTCAGGCAAGCAATGGCTACAAGAACGCGATTGCCCCGACGATCTATGGATTCATTAGCTGCACTACCCAAGCCAGCAATCGTGGCGACGACCTACATTCAGGCCGATCATCTTCGCGGTAGATGTTTGAGTAAATCACTCGAGCAAGCTGGACCATCATGCTAAGGCTATGTCAGTGCACTGCGCTCCTCAAGAAACGGGATGCTCCATGACGGAAGGCTGGCATACTTGTAAAGGGCTGCAGATACAGCCCGAGTGCGCACGGAATTGGAGTTTCGGCTTCCCCAGGCCACGTGCATGGCATGCGCTGTGCAGATGTCAGCGATGTCTTGGTCCGCAATGACAAACACTCACGGGACGGGTAGGATAGCAAGACTGTGACAATCGCGAATTGCGCCCATGGGCCAGCTGTAGAAGGCAGAACGGCGAGCGCGATCAAGTTCGGGAGATACCAAAACTGTGTAAAGACACCAAAAAGAGCACGCTCGTTCCATCTCGTTGACAAATAGGTCATGATGCACATCATAACGGCACCAATGAATTGGCACGGAATGCTGAGCAGGTTGGCATCGAAGGTACCGAAGCCAAGGTTCCGAAGGGTCAGGGTAAGGTACTGGTCTGGAGGACCGGCGGGAATCTCCCAGAGAAGGCCAAAGATGTAGATGGGCCAAAGCTCGTAGTCGCAAAGAGAGTGCCAAAGCATCTTGAGGTTGATGGCCTGCCGGTTGTGCATGTCGCACTTGGAGGGGTCGTCACGCAGAATCCTGTTGACGAGGATCTTCTCCTCTCGTTCGTTGAACCAGCCCTGTGGTCTCCAAGGCCGTTTGGTTTGTGTAGGCGAAGGGGCCATCTTGAAAATAGACCATATGCCGATGGACAGCATGATGATCCCCTCGATCAAGAAAAGCCATCTCCATCCTTCATATCCGAGAACGCCTCGCATGCGAAGAACACCAAAAGCAATGATAGGTGCGATGATATCCGTGATTCGTCGCACGCACCAAAACATCGCCAACCTGAACGGAAGCTCGTTGCCCTTGAAGAAGTAGGTAAGGTAAAGTACGATGTCAGGGATGAAGCCGCCTTGCAGGACACCGAGGATAGCGCGGGTGATAAGAAAACTGGTCCTACCGCTGAGGAAGAATTGAGCTCCCGAGACGAGGCTCCATGAGCACATGATGAAGGGGATCCAGCGGTCCGGACCTAACTTTTTGCTGATCATCTGAGAAGGCAATTCGGCGCATAAGAAGGAAATTTGATACACAGTGTTTCCAAGGTTGTAGTCTGTAATCATCAGTATATGATTCTTTGAATTTGGGATGGGCGATCTGTGTAGCCAAGCGTACCATTGGTGTCCATTCCGAGATCTGGTAGGAAGTCATCGGTGTTGGCTTGCGAAAGGTTGCCACGACCGAGGTCTAGACCGAAGAAGGCAACACAAGCCCATATGGTGACTGTGAAGTAGACCGTTTAGCATCGATCTTCAAAGAAGGCTGGGTACATACTCTTGAGGTCCATCTTGTTGATGAGTGGCAGTTCCTCCTTCCATGTCCACCTGCAAGTGGGATCGAACCGATGCCGGTTTTCATAGCTTTCGTGGGGCCTGAAGTAGGCAGCAGCAGCAGGGCTGTCGTACACAGAAGGTTGAGTCGCGATTGCATCGATATCGAAATCTTTCTTCTGTCCGAAAAACTGGGTGAGAGGAAGAATGGGGATCTCTTGTTGGACCAAGCCCTCGCCCCGCTGCTCCAACTCAGTACGATGTTCTCGGATAATACGCTCACGGGCCTCGTCAATATCTTCCTCTGGTTGCTCTTTCGTCTTGTTCTCCGCAGCTTCAGATTCTCTATCGCTTCGATCAGAGGAGTCCGAGAGAGGAGGACGCTTCTTCTCAATATCGGTCATTTTATGGTTCGTGGAAAGTAGTAAGTCGTTGTTCTTGTTTCAACAAAGACCTGATGAAAACTAAAGTTCGATGCAGGAGGTTTATAGGCCTCATATGTTATCCTTGGTCGCCGTGATCGGCCCTCCTGGACCACGAAAAGTCTTTCGCCGCCGGTTCAAACCGAGTGACGGACCCATTGGTTTGCATGCCGAGACTCTTGGTGTTCACGGCGGTTCCAATGGTCCTAGAATTTCGTGTTTGGCAGTCGGGAGTAGGACATGGTGCAGCCGCCAAGCTGTGAATAGTTCTAGTGATCGTCACAGGCCTAACGGTGTGGCATCGGCAAATGGCGATAGTGGGCCGCCTTGAGGTCAACAGCACCCGAGGGATATCTTGCTTATTGAGTGCCATAATCACCTCTTGGCCATGGGCATGAAATGTAGACAAGTATTATGTTAATAAGGCCATGTGAGTACATGGCAGATGAACGAGGGTGCCCAGAGAACTTCCGAGGAACATTGAAATCCATAAGTTGGCATTATTACGTGGTGATCACAATGATGCCTCGTGAGAAATGTAACCATTCAACGTTGCGCATCATCCAATGCAAGGCACGCCAATACATGCATGATGTCGACGAGTGAGTATCCCCTAGTATCCTTTCCTCAGTCAGCACCAGATGATATAATACACCGGCTTGACCATAAAATAGTTCAAGGATGCATGTAGCCGGGTATGCTAGGATAGGTGAGTCGTGGAGGCGCCTAGTGGCGTGGCCGCAGGCCACACACATGTACTTTGCTGAGGGACGCGCGTAGCTCTCATGATGCAAGATCCCTTGATATGTCGTGCTTTGCGTGCGACGTTAGAGAGACGATGAAAAATGGGCAAACAGCTGTTAGCGGGTTGGCATAGCTTGGCGCTCAGGGGCCATGATGGAGACATCCAGACCTGCTTGGTCATTTTCTTTCAGGTGTTGCTCTTGATCAAGAAACCCAAATCAAAATTGGCCAGTATATTCAAGAACCCACCATTGAAGTGACTTGCTGTTCAAAAATCAAGTCGGTGTCAGGGCTTGCTGCCGTTTCACTGGTGGTCGAAGGCGGTATTGCGGCGTCATTCATTTAATACCAAGCCCTTTCACCCACGAGTCCAATAAAATCTCGAACTCCTAATAACCTTCCAGGGATGAATATGGGTCCGCTTGGCCACAAGAAGTCGGCCTTGGGAAGGAGGAGAGGGCATAATGTCCGTCACCACATCTCTGGCCCATTCTCCATCTTCAGCGAGCTGGCGCGGCGTGATTTCTACAGGAGGCTGTTGCTGGCGTCGTTCGTGCACGCAAATATCATAACTTACGTCGTGAGCTATCCACTACGAGTGCTTTCAAGACTTGTAATCAGATATGCCATCGGACAGGCATAGCGGCGAGGGTCCTGACTGTGAAGGACCCAAGTAGTGAAAGCCAGCATGTCATCGACGTCATTTTACCAGCCAAGGCGGCGCCGAGCTTTCATTGTAGGTCCCTATGAGAGCTACAGAGAAATCTTGCTCATCCAAATGTCTGGGCTTGTCACTGCGCACCGGCCGGTCGAGGCCGATGTCGCTTTAGCCGGCATCAAATCTCCATTTTGATAAATTGTTTGATGTCCGCGGCATATTACGTGCTGTCGGAGTTGCAGGATGTTAATTTGATGCCCATGATAGAGCCTTTTGGAGCTAGCAATAAATTACCCCGTGCAAAAGGTTCCTAGGAAGTCATAAGCTGGCGAAACCATGCTGATGGGTTGCAAGGAGCTTTTCTTGACTGAACTTCTTTGTTACCTTGGTACTCTAATCGGACCATTCAGAGAGATGGATGGCTCGATTACGCAGCCTAGTGGGCGCATTGAAATGACCGATCGCAGGAGAATCCACTCAGGCTAGGTGTGGTTCCTTGTCGATTGAGAGGCCAGCATCAGTATATTGGTCAATTGAGATCTAATCGTGACATGAAATGACCTTCCTACCAGTATATACTCGCTGAGGACACTGGGCCAAGCTACCTTATGTTGAGTACCCTCGGAGGTTATACGCCTTCATCGGAAGTAATACTTGTACTACAAAAGCATCCTGGCAGTTCACCTGATCCACATGATACATTAAACGTGAGCGGCAAGAACACAGACGCTGATATGTGGACTGGATTGTGCTATGCGTACAATTGCTTACCGTCTGCCCTTCGAACTATACCGACATGCATGGCAAGGCATCGCAAGCATGGAGTCCCTGCCTCAGCCACTACTGTCTCTCATCAGGCAAATTGAGGGATAGAGGTCTAGGTTTTGGTGCTTTATTGTAGATGTCAAATAAGTTGCATAGCTTTCCAAACTCAATCATGCTATCTGATCGGCAACGATACCAATCCTTGGGGAATGGCGAAGCGAGAAGCCTGATTGACACACACTCTACTCAGCCTTTTATCCCTCGACTTTTAATCATTACTATCGTCATTATTGCAATGTGACCACGCGTTCTGGCACGTGCGACTGGCCGGCCATGATGTCCGCTGAATTAGAAGTATCAATGCAACCACGTCCAGCTTGCCGTTGTTTCAAGGCAGACAGGCTAGATAGCATCCATCAATACAACTGGCAACGGTGATTCACCCACGGAACCGGCAATTCACGGCAGATGGCACTTTCTACGTACGGGACTTTGAGGGTTGATTGTGGAACATGAGGCTTTGCTTAGTGTGGCAGTCAGCCTACCCCAGAGTGGATTAATCCCGGTCGGAAATGAATTGCCGGTTAACCTGAAATGTGATGCCGGCGCTGGTGGCATAGCCGGCGGCGGGCGATGACCGGCTATCCACCGGGTTGCTAGCCGGGACCGGAAGTGTCGTTGACACGGTTCCGGCTTCACATCCAACACTATAAAGCGATTATGGGGGGTTTGATGCGCTGAGCTCATATCACGATCTCCCCGAATGAATGCTTTTGGTATATTAGACCTCCCCGATCCGCTACGCTGCGCTACATATTAAAAACCTGTCCAAGTTTCATCAAGCAGCAATCAGTCTCTCCTGAATCAAAATGGGTGGCGCCGCTCAACTTCACCCGACGACACTGAAATCAGCTATTAGCGATCATTCTCTGATACGAGAAGATGCCTTCATCGGCGGAGAATGGGTCACAGGATCCGAAACATTTGCTGTGTACGATCCGGTCACAGACGGCGTCATCGCCAACATCGCCAACATGACAAAGGGCGATTTCGAACGCGCCATCAATCACGCCAATGCTGCATTCAAAGACTTTAGACACACCAAGGAGCACGATCGATCCAAATTGCTCCACAAGTACGCAGCACTTATTCGACAACACGCTAAAGACCTTGCTGTCATACTCACATTGGAGAACGGCAAAACGCTCGCGGAAGCTCAAGGCGAGGTCGAGTACGGCGCGAGCTTCATCACCTGGTTTGCGGAGGAGGCGATCCGGAATTATGGTGATATCATTCCATCTCAGCATGCGGGCAGCACCAACTTCGTTATCCGACAGCCGATCGGCGTCTGTGCCATCATTGCTCCCTGGAACTTCCCGATTGCCATGATCACGAGAAAGCTCGGCCCAGCACTCGCTGCCGGCTGCACATGTGTCATCAAGCCTCCGAGCGAGACTCCACTCTGCGCTCTAGCTCTCGCACACTTGGCGGTGGAAGCTGGATTCCCCCCCAATGTCATCCAGGTCGTGCCAACGCGCGATAGATCAGCGGTTGCTGAGCTGTACACCAACCCCATCATCAAGAAGGTCAGCTTCACTGGGTCTACGGGTGTCGGCAAGCTCATCACCAAAGAGGCTGCTGGTACAATGAAGAAGGTATCGATGGAACTCGGAGGCAATGCCCCCTACATTGTCTTCGATGATGCAGACATATCCAAGGCTGTGGACGGTGTCTTGGCGTGCAAGTTTCGCTGCTCTGGTCAGACTTGTGCATGCGCAAATCGTCTTTATGTGCAGAAGGGTATACACGATGCGTTCATCGACGCACTTCTTGAGCGTATGAAGTCGTTCAAGGTTGGATCCGGCATGGATCCGACAGTGACACACGGTCCACTCATCAATCGCGCTGCGGTTGACAAGGTCAAAAGTCACATCGAAGACGCCGTGTCGAAGGGCGCCAAGCTGATCTGGGGCGGTCAGACAAGAGAAGATCTCGGCCTTGGGAGCAACTTCATCGAGCCAGCGTTGCTCACTGGCGTCACTGCCACGATGGCAGTTGCTCGCGATGAAACTTTTGGGCCCTTGGCACCTGTCTTTGCCTTCGACACGCTGGAAGAGGTCATTGAGCTTGCCAACGACACAGAGTTTGGCTTGGCGGGCTACTTCTTCTCCAACAACTTGAAGACGATTTGGGCTGCAGCTACTCAGCTTGAGGTTGGTATGGTGGGGGTCAACACTGGGAAGATCAGTGCTGCAGAGGCGCCTTTTGGTGGTGTCAAGGAGTCTGGTCTGGGTCGTGAGGGCAGCAAGTATGGCCTTGCTGAGTTCCAGGTGATGAAGAACATAACTTTGGGAGACATGAGCTAGACATGCATAACGAAACGAAACATTCAATGAAGAACACTACGCGTGTCAGTCTCCCAATAAGGGACATTTGTTACTATAAAATATTGATTGGGTGTTTGATCGAGTTACATGATGCGAGTCACGACTTCAGAAACTCCCCGAAACTTACAATAACTTGAGGCAGCATGGAGATAATAAATACCCGGCAACAAATTGTATCATACTCTGGACAACTGATTCTAAATGTTTCACGTATCCATATTGTTCCACGTTCCAAAAATGGTCAAGAATCTCCGCATATTTGGCTCCAAGGTACTTTGGTGGCTCGTTCAGACCAACACCCTACCTCCCGATGCCTTCATCAATCAATTCCAGCGACTTGAGTCGCGATAACAACCCAGGCCAAGAGTATCCTTCAGCTATATTCACGGGCTCCATCAGAGGGTGGTTTAGAGCAGAGTGAAGCGGTC